AAAACAATTAATTTCTTTTTTTTAATTCCGATTCACCAATTCGCTCAAACATTCCACCATCCCTTTCTAATCATGTTTCAATTTCTATTCAATCTTAATCTCTAACCGTATTCATGTTGCTATTTACATAGCATTATCTTGCTGTATCATATTTATCACCGTGCTACATTTTCCACCGTCACTATGTCAAAAAAGACCTTTAGCAGCGCTTTTTTTTGCCTTTAGCAGCGCTTAAAAGCGCTGCCTAAAGTGGCGCTGCTAAAGGTAAAGACAGCGCTTTTTTTTTTGCCTTTAGCAGCGCTTTTTTTTTTTTTTGCCTTAAGCAGCGCTTTTTTCACCCTATAGCAGCGCTTTCATAACCGCTACCTAATCCCCCTTCATCTCCCCCCTTTAGCAGCGCTTTTTAAAAGCGCTTTCTTAGACCCCCCTTTAGCAGCGCTTTTTTAAAGCGCTGTCTTAGACCCCCCTTTAGCAGCGCTTTTTTAAAGCGCTTTCTTAGACCCTCATTTTCCAACCTATAGCAGCGCTTTTTTATGCCTCTTTTTGCCCCTTTAGCAGCGCTTTTTTTAAAAGCGCTGTCTATTCTTCACGATTTTGAATTTTTTTTTTTTTTAAATAATCACATTTTTTATATATTTTTCAATAAACCTGCTTATAACAAATACATTCCCTGCTTATAATTCAGGTCTTTAGTTCAACAGTTTGGCCTTATATATAACAATTATTTTGGCCTTATTTTTTATTATACACAATAACTAAAGTATACATTATAATTCATCACTTTAAAATATTATACACATAAACCTGCTTAAATATATTACAAAACAGTCTGATCCTCAGAACAAAATCACATATACAATCAATTCACATATAATTACAAATCTGATAACTTTACAAATAGATACAATATCAGATGTCACATTAGGAAGAAATAAACTTAACAATCTTTACTTGACTATTGAATTCTGTATGAGACTACATGGAGTTCACTATCAGCCACAAATACACGGTTTTCTTCAAGCTTTGTATCATTATTCAATTGAATGTCTTCCAAGCTTAATTCAATAGAACATGATTCATCTTAACAACAGCACAAGCAAAAACAATAATAGATAAGTAACAATACACTTGAACAGACCCATGTAGATCATTAAGTACTAGATTTCTATGAAATTTTCAGGTCTTATCATTATTTGAAGTTTCTGTTAATCAGATTAATAATTAAATATGTATTTATAGAATTAATCTTCATTATCATTACCTTCCAATATATATTTTCTCATGAAGTACCAAAGCAGCCAATACAGTCACAATCACTGTCACAAGAGGGCTAAACAATGCAGAGAAAAGAGATCCTCTCTGTGTTATGCACCATGCTTGAAGACAAAACATAACCGCTGATCCCATAATTCCCTACAAAATATATTTATTACAAATTATCTAGGATTATGATGTATAAATATTGGTGTGTATCATCATGAAAAATTACCGCATATAAAGTGGAACCAAATTGAAGTAGAGAATTAATCTTCCATGCATTAAGGTCTGCCTCCAAGAATACTGTCACTACGGCTGATTGTAATGTTGAAATGAAACACATCCAAGCTGACAGTGACAAAATATATTTATGTTTTAAAATTTAATAAATAAATAAGGATTATTTGTGAATTTAGACTATTTCATAGAAAAATAAGGATTAAGAAAAATAAATAAATTTCAAGATTAACAGAAACTTAAAGCTTTCATCTAAATCACAAATAGTGTGAAGTTTCTAAAGCAACATAATCTAAAAAATCATTGAATATATGTGCAGTATTTCCCTTATAAAAATTATTAGTAAAAAGAACTCATATAAGGTGTGGCATTTCAGCAAACACCTTGTATACGGCTAGATATAATGAAAGTTAACATAAGTAAATTCATTGTGGCATTTCAACAAACACCTTGTATACAAAACTCAAGCCAATATCAAACGAGTAATTTTCATCAACGGTATCAACAAAAACAAGTCAAAAACTCAGAAAAGAAGTAACACTAACATCATATAATCCAAAAAAATGAAATATTAAGACATTAATCCAGAAAAATGCAAAATGAAAAACTTCAAATACCGTAACAATGGACGGACGGCGGCAGAATAAGGTGATGACGGAATGACCGGAGGAAAGACGACGGACGAAGGCTGTCGGACGGAGGCGCGGACGGAATGCGTCGACGGTGACTGTTCTAATTCTGAATAGGGCAACGTTCGCGAGTGGAAATAAGAAAGAAGAAGATTGTTCTGATTCTGTGAAAATATTGGAATTTTTTAAATTTATGCTACTTAAACCTATAACAGCGCTTTTTTTGGCATTTAGCAGCGCTTTTAAAAGCGCTGCTATAGGTCTGCCTTAGGACCCCCTTTAGCAGCGCTTTTTTTGGCATTTAGCAGCGCTTTTAGAAGCGCTGCTATAGGTATGCCTTAGGACCCCCTTTAGCAGCGCTTTTAAAAGCGATGCTATAGGTCTGCCTTATGACCCCATTTAGCAGCGCTTTTTTTGGCATTTAGCAGCGCTTTTAGAAGCGCTGCTATAGGTATGCCTTAGGACCCCCTTTAGCAGCGCTTTTTTTGGTATTTAGCAGCGCTTTTAAAAGCGCTGCTATAGGTCTGCCTTATGACCCCCTTTAGCAGCGCTTTTTTAAAAGCGCTTTCGTAGACCCCCCCTTTAGCAGCGCTTTTTTAAAGCGCTTTCTTTGACCCCCCCCCCCCCTTTAGCAGCGCTTTTTTAACAAGCGCTGTCTTAGGTGTGCTATTTTTTTGTTTTTTTTTTCATGACCCTTTAGCAGCGCTTTTTTAGAAAGCGCTGTCTTTTGTTGCGCTGCTAAAAGTCATTTCTGGTGTAGTGCGTTGTCTTAACCCTACAAAGGAAAGGTTCGCATGTTTGACCCCCGTGTCAATGCCTTTACCCTCACCCTAGCCTTAGGATTTGAGTCCCCGTACTCACCTTTTAGGCGTCCCGTCATGGACATACCCTCATCCTTTTCAACTTAACTTTTAACGTAGATAGGAGTCTTCACACTCCAAGTAAGCGTTTCCATATGAACGCTTATTTCCCTTTAGAACTTTGACTCACAGTCAATAATTCCTCAAACCCTTTAGGGGAACTACAAATACTCTGATTCCATTCCCGTAAGGATATGTAGGCATAAGATGCAACATCTTATCGAGTATACTTAGAAATAAACCCCTAGGTCTTTTAACATTATGCAGATAAACCATAGCAATAAACAATATAAAACAAGAGGTTCCTGTAGAGTACTACAGAAACTTAGGATGCTAGCACCTTCCCTAAGTTTAACCGACCCCCGAACCTATAACTCTCTAGCTTGCATTTGCATTGCATTGTGGGAATTTCGACTTTTATCCCTTCCTTTGGACAAATCAAAGTTCGGTTGCAAAATGAATAAGATTCAAACTAATCAATAGTTTGGTATCCGATTTTCACCGCGACAGGTTTGAATTTTGAATATTTTATAGTTCCCTCCAACTTGATTGAAACGTCCTTGTGCTCTCCTCAGTATGGCCTTTGTCGAGCGTTTTTTCACACTTAGTAATTTTTAGCCACTTTGTCTATAAAATAACTACTCTATGATGGGTTATGTCGAAAATATCCCATCTTTCAAATATTGGTATTTTGACTTAAGGTAATTCTAAGCTTAATTAACGTCGAAAATTGAGAGTCAACAGGTCGAAGGGTAACTTCTGGTTCGATAGGAATTAAGCATGAAGTCGAAGTATGTTCGCATGCTACTGTCGGAGTAATGTGTGTTGTAGCCGAAGTTTGTTCTAACATGCATTAGTTAATATTGCTAGGGTTGTTAGCATGTTGAATTGGGTCTTGCTTGTAAGTCCAATTGTTTAAGTTAACTTGTACCCTAAGTTAGCTTGTAATTGGTAATTGTTAAAAAGCCCAGTAGGTTAGTGTGCTATTTTTCTTATAAATAGGATGCTAGTTTCTCAATCTTGAAATAAGAAAAATAGGAAGATAAAATCCTAATTTCAAGTGAGAGAAGTTATTTTGCTATTCTTGTATACTTGTAATCTTGTTTTAAGAGAAATGAAATAATAGCAGTTTATAACCAATCCTTATTGTTTCTTGTTGTTTTACCTTGTCTTCTTTGTTAACCCTAACCCTTCTGTGTTTCTTGATCATTAAGAAACCGTTTATACTTTGTTTGAAGACCTCAATGTCATATATTTTGTATTGGTTGTGTGGTTTTTAGGGTTAGAATATGTGTATTTGAATATGAGACATTCATTAAACTTTTATAACAAAGTGTTAGGGTTTTTAAGGAACTATAACCTTCTATAACTTACCCTTGTCCGAAAGAATAAATGTCAAAAAAATCTTTTGTAAATACTATTTGACGGTTTTATGCCTTATGTTTGCTCTAATTAGATATCATTCTAGAGCAATTTTATTTTAGTTTTCAAAATATTAGAATCTTTTTATGGATAAATCCTCCATCACAAGGGTTGGGTTAATGGTGAAAGCTTGGATCTTGAAAATGTGTTATTCTAACGTGAAAGAGCGATTTAAAAAATAAAAATAAACGTCTAGAATAAACCTTTCATCACAAGAGTTGATCTCAAGTTCGACCTTATTTTTTTTCTCTTTTAACGTGTTTGAGTTTAAAAAAGCTAACCCAACCACAGGGATGGTGTAGATCTAGAATAATTACACACATTTAAAAATAAATAATCAAATAATTGTAGTTATTTATACACAAGAACTACTTGCAGATGTAACACTGCAATAAACTCATTAAAAAGTCAAAGTTGTAGTACAAATAATACAACGTACTACCATGTAATAGACTATTATTTTTGTACTCTCATATAGTACTACTATTTCTATTAATTAATTATTTGGCAAATACACTATGAAAATGAAATACTACAAAAAGGAAACAAGTTAAAAAAAAACACAGACAGGAAAATATAGTACAACGTTACATACATGGCTTTCTCCAAAACCAAAACCCTAAAGTCAACGTTTCTTATTTTGTGTCTCTTAGCCTCCGCCTTTTTCTATCCAACCAAAGCTCACGGAGGAGGACACGACGACGCAGATGATTCCGACCATGATTCACCTTCTTCCGACAACATAAACATACGTTCAAAGAGTTTAGTCCTAGTGAAAATATGGTGTTTGATAATCCTATTTGTGTCCACTTTCTTAGGTGGTGTCTCTCCTTATTATCTCCGTTGGAACGAGGTTTTTCTTCTCCTGGGAACTCAGTTTGCCGGTGGTGTTTTTCTCGGAACATCCATGATGCATTTCTTGAGTGACTCAAACGAAACTTTTGGAGATCTTACAACGAAAACTTACCCTTTCGCTTTCATGTTGGCGTGTTGTGGTTATCTTTTCACCATGTTTGGTGATTGTGTGGTGGTTTATGTAACAAGTAATAATCAGAGGGAAGCTAAAGTTGAGGAACTTGAAGGTGGGAGAACGCCTCAGGAACATGAAGAGACTAATGAGTTGGCCATGGATTCGAGTAATGTTGCGTTCATGAAGACTTCGAATGTGGGAGATACTGTTTTGCTTATTCTTGCACTTTGTTTTCATTCAGTGTTTGAAGGCATCGCTGTTGGAATTTCAGGTTTTGCTATTTCTCTCTTTCTCTCAATGTGTCTCTAATAGACTTGTTTCTCTTGTATTTTGGGGAGTATTTGTTAACTTATAAAAATTATCAATCTTAATAAATAAATTTGAAATTTAAGCAAATAAACATCTTACAATGAATAAATAAAATTAGTCGTATAAATGCAGAAATAAAACTAAGATCAATTAACTTGTTGCACTGTTGAAATGAGTTATATAGTTTATGAACAATGTCTTGTATAATGAGAATCCTAAGACCAACTCCAACGGTGGTTTTTCAAATTGGTTTGCCAGCTTGGCATTGAAAATGTCAACAAAATGTTATTCCAGTTGTAGAACGTTACAAACATAAGCAACGGTTCTTCATTTGATTTATTATTAAAATAATCATTTAACTCTATTTTATTTTTTTAACTTTTTTATTTATTATAAATATAGGTTTGTTGGAAAAAATTTATATCATTCCTATTGTCTCTCCTTTTTATTCCTATTTTCTCTCCTTTTTATTTGCTCTTTAATTTCAAATTTCTCTCTCACAATTTCATCATTTTATTCATAAATATTTAATTTTTTTTCAACAATTTCTTCTCATTATCATTTTATTTCAAATTTTCATCTTTTTATTTCAAATTACATTTGTTTAGGCCAAATTTTCATCTTTTTATTTTAAATTACATTTGTTTATGTGATGTTATTTATTTTTATTGTTTTTAATTATGTGATGTTATTTATTTTTATTGTTTTTAATTATGTGACATGTATTTAAATTTAATTTTAATTATTATTTTCAATTTTATGTTTAATTTTAATTTTATGTTTAATTTGTATTTATATTAATTAAAATTTAAATATTTAAATTATAATTTTAAATAAAATAAATTTAATATAAATAATATATTTTAAATAAAGTGGTGGAACCCAATATGGGTTCTTTGAAGTTGCACCATTGGAGTAAAAATTGAATGAGTTGCTTTAAAAGAGTAGGTCCCACAAAGAACTCAAAAATGAGTTGCACCATTGGAGGTGCTCTAATAGAATAGATATTTATATGTTTCCTAGACAAATAATTAGAAGAAATGAACTCCTTAATTAATTTTTTAAAAATTTAATTATTTATAGTAGATTGTTGAGGTTTAAAAATGGTAAAAGAATTCGTACCTATGAGTACCTACGGGTAAAATCCGTCACTGACACAAGTAGGGGTGGAAATAGACTGAATCGAATTAGGCTTTGTCAAATCTAAACTAAAATATAAGTATGTTTCGTAATCAATCATAAGTTTATTTTTAGGCGTGAGTTTGACATTTTCGAAGACTTACTTAGCTTTTTAGTCGGCTTAAAAGCCTATTTATTTTAGACATATGCAAATAAGTCATTCAAATAATGTTTAAATAAACTAACGAACTAAAAGATCAAAAAGATTAAAAATTTGTTTGCATTGCCTTATTTTAACTTATCTATTAGCATATGTTTTGTGAGACTACATGTTTAAGAAAATTTATGAAAACAATGACATTAGTCATAAGGCATTTTCATTTTGTTTTTATAAGTTCTCCAAGGCAACAAAATTTTATTAATGAAATTTAATTTAAACTACAAAACATAACATCATGATAATAATAAAATATTCATATTTATTTAAATAGGTTAGTCTAATAGGTTTAAAAGAGTTTTTTTATGGCCTGAAGTCTAGTCTGTTTTTTTAACTAAATAGACTTATAAAAAAGTCCAAACTTTTTCTTAAAAAAAAATTGGTCTGACTTAAAATTATGTAGGTTAGACCGTAAACCCCTGTTAGTCGGTCTACCATATTTTCACCCATAAACACATGTTGGATGGTTTAATAGATATCCACGGATAAAATAAACGAATATTCAATTACTCATTTTCTTACCGGTATGAATACAAATTTGATGGTACTCGTATCCGAAGGTATCCGTATCAGACAATATAGTCAAAATCGAGTGTTGTATCTTAAGATCTTACGTGCTAAAGTTGCATTTTAATGCTACGATCTGAGAAAAAACTTTTTTATGCACTTTGTAGTCAAGATCGAAGGTTAGGTCTTAAGATCTTACATGTTGAAGTTACCTTTTATATGACTATCATGATATGCGAATAAATAATATCTTAGATGACTAGACTTGTTTGTTAGATTTATATTTTTTAAGCTATTTATTTTGAACAAAGTCTTTTGAACTTGTTAAATTATGGAATGATGGTGATGAATTATAAATTAAATTGGTTGAATTTTGGAATTTATGGGTTATTTTGTCCATATATTATATTTTTTTGTGTTTTTGTGTGTGTATGTATATATTAAATTAGTATTTTGTCTTTTGGCGAGATCTTAAGTGTCGTGCTACGATCCTAGTTTTACAATCTTTTTACCGACCATCCGATATTATTTAAGATCCCGTGATTGACTACCTTAGAAATAGGTAATAATTTTACTTAAATATCTTCTAAAATTATTATACTTAATAAATTTGTTTAATTAATAATCACTTAATTTAATTTAATAATCTCATTTTCATTTAAAATCTTAACTACAAATATTTTTCTTCCGAGCCTTCTTCTTACCTTACATTTTCCTTATACACATAGTTTTTTATTTATATCATATAAGAAAAATTAATAAATTACTATCATATAAGAAAAATTGATAAATTACAATTTAAAAAAATTGTATCCATAGACGTTCATAAATATTCACAGATATATTAAAATTTATAGATATTCATTTGGCGAATACTCACACGAGTATAAGATAAATATAAATATTCTCTCTATTTTTATATATAAACAAATTTTAATATGTTAAATTTATTAAATAATTAATTTATTTAATCTATATATAATTCAAATACATTATTTATTGAATAAATCTTAGAAATCAAAAGGTATTTATAAAAGAGAATGGAGGAATATCATTGATTGAAGTACTTATTATAGATACTTAAAAATTTATCTTTATTTATTATTTTTAGTGCTCTTGTTTATTTATATTAATACGTGGTTCTCCCTTTGTTATTACAAAAAAATTTCTAAAGTTATTTTTTTATTAAACTTGTTAGCTTCTTTAATCTACGACACGTAGTCCTTCAAACATATCTTTTTGAATTTTAAGTTGGTGAGGCATTTCAGTTTTCTTTGTATCTTATGTTTAATGTTATCTCTTGCTTAAAAAAATAAAAAGGGTAATTCTTCGACCCAATTATTTCAAAACCGAAAAATTGATCATCTTTCTTACCATCTTCAAACCATTTTATCTTTATCAACTTATACATAAATCTCACCTGAAGTCTTGTTTTCTATTTGAATATAAGATAACTTTTTGTATAGTTGCACTCCCTTATATTTAAGAATTTTTTAACTCCTATAAATTAATTTAATGATTAAAAATTTGGTCGTTTCTCTCAAAGTTTCAAATTCAATAATAATAATAACTTAATTTATTTAAACTAATAGTAATATAGAAAATAATGATCAGGTAGTAAGGCAGAAGCATGGAGGAATTTATGGACAATATCATTACACAAGATATTTGCTGCCATAGCAATGGGAATAGCATTGCTTAGAATGTTACCAAAAAGACCCTTAGTAACAACAGCAGCATATTCATTTGCATTTGCTATCTCTAGCCCTATTGGTGTAGGAATTGGAATTGCAATAGACGCTACAACAGAAGGAAGCACAGCAGATTGGATGTATGCTATATCTATGGGAATTGCTTGTGGTGTTTTTGTCTATGTTGCTATCAATCATTTGATATCTAAAGGCTTCAAAACTCAGAGGAAGACCCGTTTTGAGTCTCCTTGGTTTAAGTTTCTTGCTGTGCTTTTTGGTGTTGCTGTTATTGCACTTGTCATGATTTGGGACTGATGATATCATCATTATCTTCCTGTTTTTCTATGATTCTTCATTGTTTGTTTCTCCTTATTATGTATATGTGTGTACTTGTGCAATATATAAATGTTCTATATTTGCTAAAGCCAATGTTTATTGGGACTTTCATGTAAAATAAATTCATTTATTTCATGTTTATACATACATTTAGTTTTTGAAGATTTATAACTGTTACTTAAACAATAGTTAATGGAGTTTTTTTTTTCTTTAAAAAGAGTTATCATGCTATCTCTCACAGAAGAAGTAGAATAAATTCTATTTATCTCTTTGAAGAGTTTAACCAATCAAATATTTCAATCTATTTTTTTTCCTCTTTTATCACCTCTATAATAGATGCATTGTCATTATCTCTCAAGCATGAGTACTTTTAAAATAGTGAAGTATCGATAACGGGTCGCACTCATACCGGGTACTTGCACCGTATTCGTGGCACTTCATTTTTTCTCATTATTCGATTTTGAATGAAATTTGTGGTTTTCTCAAATATCTATATAGTATATATAATAAATTGATGTCGTCAAGAACAAAGAAAAATATGAGAAAAAAATTGAGTTTTTTAAACAAACATAAGAAACCTTATTAGGTTTTATAAAAGATAGAGAAGAAGGAAGAAGAAGAATAAAAATTGGTTAAAACTATTTTACTATTCACTTACTAAATAAGGATTCAAAGATTACAAGTGAATACCAACAACTAATCTCTCTCAACAACCTGAGAGAACTAGTCTATTTATAGTCTACTAAGCTAACTTAGGTTACAAGCTAACCTAATAATTGCGCTTACAAGAAAAACCTAATTCAACATGCTAACTTAAACACAAAGCTAACATATTTCGACAACATTCTTAAACAGACTTCGACTACAACATGCACAATGAACCATGAAGCTACCCTTGTCGACACTACAGTTCGATCCAAATACCACAAATCTCCACCTTCGAACAATGTTTTGGTCATCATATCTGTAACACCCTAATTTCCCCGCATAATTTAAAACATAAACATTTAGGATGCCACAATACAACTAAAATCTGCTCATACAATCTCAGATATGTAACACATGTCACTTCTGAAAATTTATCTATATAATATATAAAGGGAATACTTTGTTTTGGTGTGGCTTATTTTTCTACCATTTTTTACCCTTACTTTATTATATAATTTACTTAATAACTTCTTATTATTAACTTCCACGTAACTTCTTATTATTAACTTCCACATATTGTATTTTTTAAAAAATTTATTTAAACAAAAAGTATCGTTTATGTTTTCATTCATGCGCATTAAAAAAGCGGACAGACAGGCACGCGAGTGCCCGTCTAGACGCTAGTTAATAATAATGATAATACCAATAATCAAATAATCCAACTCCAACTTTTATTATTAGTAGTGGAAACATCGACAAATAATTCATTTTTAATATTTTAAACATAAAACAGAAATGTTGTAATAAAAAAGGAACATCAACATAGGAGATAAACATAAATCTCCACCATCAGAAATAAACACACAAATGCCATTCTCAAGTGTTACACATTAGAGCAGACGCCGACTCTATAAAACTAAAGGGAAGAACACCATCTTCCACTTACATCCTCACTTCTACTGCAGATTATCTGCACGATGTATATGTAAAGGCAACATTCAAACAAGAAGGGTAAAATCTCACAATTATATAAAGAAATGCATAATAATGAGTAAACATCAAATTATTACATGCACAATCACTCATTCCACCAACACACTTCAACACAATCAACACAACAACCATCCAAACAGAATAACAATGTAACCAATATGCAATGCAACGAGACTCAACAACTTGACTCAATGCCTGTGGTACCAATACGTGAACTCTCAAGTTCACCGCTCTGATTCCCACCTAGGATTGGAGCCCACCAAAACGTTACCATGGACAACGCTTCACTATTTCCATCACCATAGGAATTAACTACTCGCACCCGATCCATCACAATGGGATTGAGACTCACCAAGAATATCGTTACCATCACCATAGGTAAAGCTTCACTGATTCCATCACCATAGGAATCAGCTACTCACACCCAATCCATCACCATAGGATTGAGGCCCACCAAACGGACCGTCGTGCAACACCATGAATGCATGCAACATACAACATGCAACAACAACAACAACAACGCCATGAAAAATTACTTCCACCTCATTCAATGTACCACACCAATATTGGCCACCATGCAACAAACATATGTTATAACATTCAACAACAGCAACCAAACGATACAACAAATACCAACAATGCACCTACACCCATTCTACATCACAACAAAAAGACACCATGTGTCATTTGCAATAAAACACATCAATTAATTTATTTTTAGGTACTTAAAACCAATTTTAGAATAAAGTTCAGTGTATCAACTTCCTAACGCTTCGAACGACACTCGAATTGGACACCCGAAACTCAAGATATGATTTTTCAAAGATTTTCAAAATTGTTTCCAATTTAATCGGTTACACCCATGCGACCATGCCCTTGCTACACAAAATCCACTCAGTGTAACCGGTTACCTCAATTCTGGTAACCGATTACACCCTCTCTATTTGTCCAAAAATCACATTTTTGCAACACTGTAACCGGTTACACCATTTCTGATAATCGATTACACTGTGAGCAGAAACACTTTTCTGCTACTTTTCCAAATGAAAATTACCTTTTATCCCATCTCAAAACCCCACTTTTCATACAATTCATTTTTCATATTATTTTACATGAAAATTACTTTTCAAAAATCATCAAACCCCAATTCTTTTCATAAAAAGCTCATAATCTCAAGTTCTGACTCTAACTCCCAACAACCATTAACAACACATCATCCATCATCATACAATTCCATCAATACATGGTTCTAATAGCATCAATTCACAATTCACAAAAATAATTATCAACATAACATCGTCATACAATCCATCATCACACAGATTCAATCAAACACATCAACATGGCATGATCATATAATTTCAAGGTTCAAAAATTGAGAAAAACATTTATAACATAGCAATCACAATCCTCACCCATAAATCATTATACAATCCCTTATAGAATTGGAACCCCACCCTTACCTTAGAGTTCTTGTAAAATTTCTTCAACCTTTAGAAATGGGGATTTTTCCTAACTTCTCCTTCCTTGCCCTAGCTCTCATCTCCCTTTTCTCCAAAAAATTTCTCAATTTCACGATCTATCAGTTTACTCCCCCAATATCCCCTTTCTCTATTATTTTATTATAAATACTATCATTACTAATTCCAATTAATTAAAAATAATAACAACAATAATACTAATTTTTTTCATCAAATATTTATTTTAAATAATACTCACCTTATATTATTTGATTAAACAATTACTAACTAATATTACTAATTAATTTTACTCTCACCACCACCAATCTCTACAGTATTACTCACACACCCTCATAATTTAATTACAAAAAATAAATTAAAATAAATGGGGCGTTACAAAATTAGCAACATTGTCATTAGTCGAAATCTTCAGCACTTGGACTTTTCCATGCTCGATTATATCTCTGGTGAAGTGCGGCCTCACATCGATGTGCTTAGTTCACTAATGATAGACTGAATTCTTCGACGAGTGTGTTGCACTTTGACTATCACATTTAACAGTGATAACTCGATATTGAATTTTTAGCTCCTTAGCAAAACCTTCAAGCCACAATGCTTCTTTCACAGCTCCAGTGAGGACAATATATTATGCTTTAGTGGTTGATAAGATAACAAACTTCTAAATTTTCGTTTCCCCAACTGATTCTTGTGCCGCACGTAGTGAACACATATCCAGAAATAGATTTTATGGAATCCATACAACTTGCATAATCATAGTCGACAAATCCTTCAATATCGACTTTGCTATCATCACCACAAGCTCCGCCATAAATCAGGACTCTGCTTAGAGACCCATTGATGTACCTAAGAATCCACTTTAATGCTTGCCAATTCTCCTTCCTGGATTGACCATATACCTAATTACAAGGCTCACTCTGTACGTTATATTTGGCTTCGTACATACCATATCATACATCAAAGAACCTACTATATTAGCATATGGAATTCTATTCATATAGACTCTTTCGACTTCAGTACTAAAACTTTGGGTCAAACTTAGCTTGTACTGAGGATTAGTTTGTGTTATAACATGCTTTCAATTCGACATACCAAACTTGTCAAGAATCTTCTTCAGGTATTCCTCTTGAGATAAGCATAATCTCGACTGCTTTTTATCTATTCGGATGTCAGTCCCAAGAATTCTGGAGGCAGCTCCCAAATCCTCTATGTCAAACTCCTTATCGAATTCAACCTTCACCTTTATAACATCTTCTTGTCGAATCTTCTATTCCATTGTCGAGGAGATTGTTTCAGGCTATACAAAGACCTATTCATCTTGCACAAATAATCTTCCTTTCCTCTTTCTGCATACCCTTCAGGTTGCCTCATTAGGATTGTTTCATCTAGATCATCATACAGGAAGGCAGTCTTCACATCCATTTGTTCAAGTTCTAGGTTGAACTTCGCCACCATAGCTAACAACCTTCTAATGGATCTATACTTTACAGCAAGTGAGAACATATCATTGAAATCGATACCTTCTTTCTTAGTGAACCCCTGGCAACCAACCTTTCCTTAAAACGCTTCGACATCACTCCTTTGATTCCTTCCTTAACCTTGAAGACCCACTTACAGTTGACTAACCTGGCCCCTACAGGTTTCTCGATCATCTCCCACGTGTTATTATCATGAAGATGTTTCATCTCATCATCCATGGCTTTTAGCCATTCAATCTTATTTCGACTCCTCATAACTTTCTTATAGTTTCTAATTTCTTCGTCCAAAACCTCACTTGCAGAGATTAAGGCATAATCTATAAGATCTGCATAACCAAGTCTCCAAGGTAGCTTGATGACTCTTCTCGACCTGTCTCTTGTC